TAATGGTTTCATCACTAGAATGTAACAGGAAGACTCTTGGTTGGTTTGCGCTGGTGGAACCAGATTGATGAAGATGGAAAAAGTCACTGGGTGTTTGAAGCAAAAAGGGTAAATATATTAATAGAAGCAGGCACAAGGCAAACATAATCCATAAGAAATTTGTAAAGCTGATACCAAGTCAAACAAAGTAACCAATAGAGCACCTTTGCAACAGTTACTTTTTATCCAGCTGCCACAGAAAACAATGTCAGTAATCAGGTGCAAGCACTGTTTGTCACATCCTGGAAGCATTCAGGGCAAAACAGGTCTCACAGCATTGTCAGCATATGGATCAGCAGAATAACTATTCATAGCATAGTGCTATAGGTATGAAATGTTTCTGGTAGTTCTGTTTTATTTTCTAGTGAGAATAGCTTGCAATAAACCATCTTTCCATAGATAATCCCAACACAGAATCCTCTTCAGGAAAGATCAACATGAAAAGCAATGCTGAATAGCTCAGATTTAGTATTTTGAAGTTAATATTTTATTCACCTTCATGGAATATGGTGGGAAAGAGAACCGGGATCACAGAGCACTTTGATACTGCTAGCGCCCCACAAACACACTGAGGGGAGTTAAAAAAAGCACGATAGAATGGCATTTGGCATCACTGCCAGAGTCAAGACTCAGGGTTTTGCTTTCACTTGCTGACACTCTATCTGCAGCCCCGCTGAGCCTGGCAGAGCAGCCCCCAGGCGCTGCTCACTGGGACGTTCTCTGGAGCCCTCCAGCTGTGTCCTGCAGTGCCCTCTGCAGCCTCGGCTGCGGCTCCGGGGTGGCCCGAGCTCAGAGCACAAATTAGTGTGCGTCCTGTGAGTCTGAGGGAGGCCTGAAGACAGAATAGAGGAAACCCTGCAGGAAGGAATACATGGAAAAGTCAATATACTGAAAATCAACTAAAAAGCTTTTATTTTCAGAGTGGAAGAATCCAGAGGGTTTTCTTTTCCAATTGTGGTGCTTCTGTTTCGGAAGTTGGCACTCTAGTGGTCATTGATTGGTCTGAGGGTTGGAGTGAGATTTTGAATTTTGGAAAGATCAGAGCCTTCTGAACAATTCTCTTTAGGTTTTTTTTTTGTTCTTAAGTGTGATGAGCCCTTCAGTGTAGATAGAGATGTGTGAGTTGTGCTGACCTGAAGAAATCTGTAAGCAGGGCTTTGCAGCCTGCTCTGAAATTTCTGCTCTCCCTGAAGAACAGCCAGAGCATGGGGCATAAGGCTGCCCCTTGCAGTTACAGTGTGCCCAACTCCAGCATGACACAAGGAGGCATTTTCAAAGCCATGGTTCTTAATTCATGAAATGTCAGCAGAGTTCAGAAGCAAAACCCAACTATTTATATAACAGGAAAATAAGCTTCATGCAAGATATAAATTAAGCTAAGATACAGCATCTTTTTATGAAAATGCATAGAAATGTGCATTTTTATAAGAATTCCAGTCTGAACTAGAACCAACTGATAAATCCTATGGATGAAAATGCTGTCGTGTACAGTAGGGCATCAGGAAGGACACTGGGCATGAGCTACTTCTCTTCTTAGTTAATCTTCTTATATGCATATAAGTGAAATATTCCTCCTCTGTTCATTTCTATTTATTGTGGGTTTTGACTTGTGACTAAAAGTCTCAATTTTTTCTTCCAGGTGCCTACAATAGCTGCCTCGACTGAAGCTGAAGCCCGAATCTTCTGGCTTGGTCTCATCATCTGCCCAGTGATTTGGACAATGTTTTTCTTTAGCACCTTGTTCTCCTTGAAACTGAAATGGCTGGTGAGTCAGGGGGTACTGAAAACAATCTTCACAAATCTGTGCGTTTTGAACCAAGTCTTTTCAACAGCAGAAAAATTTCACCAACAGCTTCAAAGAATCCCAGGAAGTCTTCTGCAGTCAAGGTTTGAACTCTGGAATGGATTGGTAATTTTTAGCTGTACTTCTGCTGGGTTATCAGATGTCAGCTCCTTTCTCCAGAGAACCTCAAGTGGTGGACAAAATTATGAGCTTCTGTTTAACTGCAGCAACTTACTCTGCCCCAACTTATTTCAGTCAAATAAAAATAACAGGAGAGGACAAAAAATGAAACAGTGATGTTGCTTTTCAGGTCTCCTGGGAACTTAAATGTACTTTTAAAAGTAAGGATTTTAGATCTCTGGTACCATTTCCTTTTGAAAGAACCGGCATTGTTAGCTCATAAAACCTTCATAAATTGAGCTATAAGCATTTTATAATTGCTCTAGTTATAAGTCATCTACTTAAAAAAAACCCAACACTATTCTTTTTCTAAATACGAGGGAAAATTTACATCATATATTGCATTACATCAAGATACTTTTGTCTATGAAATCTTCACATTTTCCCCTGTAAACATGAAGTGCTTGGCTAATTGCCACACTATTCATTCTGTCAAGTTCCCAGCCATGCTCAGTACCATTTTCTAATTCAGTTTGAAAAGATAAAAAACACCTCTGACATGTGTAGCTACATGACCAGTAACAGCCAAGACTGCATATTATTATTCAATTAAACAAGAAATTCAGCTATGGGCACGAATCAATGGCAAATCATTAACTGCTTTCTGGTGCCCCTAAACAAGCAATAGTTGAAATTACACCAGCACTCTTTGTTCATGGCTTCACCTTTATTTTTGACAGAGATTGTTTGTTAAGCCAAGAGCTGCATGGAGACAGAACTCTTAACTGGCACAGGAGGAAGGTTGCTCAGGTGCTTGTAAAAGGCAAATTACACAAACAAAAATAAAATCACTTCTGGGAAACTGGCTCCAAAGGCTAAGAAAAACATTTTTATAAGTTACTGCCTTAGTCAGATTGGTTCCACCTGCTGCTAAACCTGAAGTACCACAAAAGGAGCTGATTATTTTCACTGCCTGTCAATGCTAGACAGGGAATCCATCTATGGATGCGCTTTGTAAATCTGTAAATTACAGAGCTTATTTGTTTATAAGTTGTTTGTCAGCTGAACAGGCCTGCCATTATCTGGATGTAAAACTTGTAGATACAAATGGGGCTTAAAAAAAGTGAAATTTTTCTGGAATTTGTGGAGTAGGTCCTTTTTTGAGTAAGTGCTTTTAGGAAAGTAATGAAGTCTTTCAAGATACAGAATGGCAAAACTGGTATTGGTGTTTTGATAAAAAGAAGTATTTTATAGAAAGGAGCTATTGTGTTTGACATGATTGGATGTTTTTGAAGGCCATTTATGACTGGAATGTCCCTCTCTTATAGCACATTTATCTGGATAGTGTGTACACACACGTGTATATCCTACAGTCAATGCACAGCCATGGATTTGTTCCTGCTGAACTCTTGTTTGTCCACAGGCTCTCGTGATTGCTGGGATCTCCCTCCAGACTGCTAATTTATATGGCTACATCCACTGCAAGTTAGGGGGACAAAAAACCATCAGCAGAGTAACCTCAAGGTTGTTTGGCACCACAGATGTTCCCAAGAGTGAGTACTGAGCTTCAGCCCATGGGGTACCACAGCCAACCTGCCTCTCAGGGCTAGTGCTGGCTCTTCCTGGATCTCAGTTCCTTCAGTAAGTCCAGGGTGATCCTGACTCTCCACCAAGCCTCTCTGGGAGTTTCACATGGAAGAACCATAACCCCAGGTCACTTTGCTCCATGTCTGGAAGCCTGTTGAGCTCCACAACTGAGCTCCTTCCAAGCTCCAGAAGAATGTCCTTAAGTTAAATCCTTAGAGTTGCTATAAATCTAATACCTCCGTTTAAGCAGGGCTGGAAGAGCCATCTTCAACCCTCAGGCTTCCAGCTGACAGCTCCCTGCTTTTGTAAGAGATCCTGTGTCCCAGGTTATGCTTACAGCCATGTGTGCTCTGTTCCTTCAACAGAACAGAGCAGGAGAATTTCAGAAGATGGCACTGAAGAACACGGGAAGACAGGATCTAAGTAACCAAACAAGGAAGAGCTAAAGGATGAGCAGTAAAAAAGTAGTCAATGAAAGTTGTTCTTCATGGAAAGATATTTAGATAAAGCTCTTCTAGAATTATGCCTGCATGAAATAAAATAATTTGTGTTTGAGTCTTTAGATCCTGAAAGGTTTTAAGTCTTTGTTACTTAACAGCTTCACCAAAAAGTGAGCACAGACAGTGCTCATAGTTTACAATAAGCATGCTGCTTTCAGAACAGTTGTCAACTAACCTCAAACTACTGGATTATTTTAACCAGAAATTACATGTAATGAAAAATACAATGATAATTTGTTTAACTCTGGAACTACAATAAACAAAATCAAACTGCCTTCCCTTCTTGTACACAATACTGATTTTTCATAGCTTTACAAGTCCAAAGGGCCTCTTCATTATTAAAAATACTGAATGTTTATATTTTAATGTTCAGGCTTAGGGTCAAATAGAAGAAAACAGAAGTAATGAACCATGTTCACCCACAACTTGTGTGAAGCTGGCAGTTTTGTATAGTTAAAAAATTAATCTTATTTTGATACCTGTAAAAAATAAAGCAGTGCACTTGTACTGTAGTGCTATAATACTTTCACTCTAGACACAGATCTTTTCCATGGAGATATTTAAATGATGCTATTCAGGGAAAGGGAAGAGGCATTATAACTCACCCTTGTGCAGCAGGCAGAACAAAGGCTGCTGCACATGCCCCAGTGTCAACTTATATTATTTTCAATAAGAATTTATATTCAACCTCCTAAGTAAAATGTGTGTTGTATTCTCACCTCTTCAACTGCTACCTTCACAGTCAGTTTATAGGTACCACGACACTGGAGGTAGAATGCACTTGATAATCCAAATGCAGACTCACTTTCACAGCTTTCTAGTGAGGGATGAACTACAAGAGTCTTGAACTTTTGGAAAAAGCACAGGCAAAAGCCTTTATAGTAAGAATTTATTTGCAATATACAAAAAGAATACATTCCTTTAATAAATCAAGGCATAAGTTACTCTTCTATAATTAAACATGAAGTACATTTTTGTTCAACTTACAGATTACATTATCTTTTCTTCTTGCAAATGGTGGTGTTCACAGTATTCGTGAATTTCTGCAAAGATGGAGAAAAAGTAATGTAAGTACTATTTCAGTTGTACATCAGGAGTTTGTTGTTGCTGCATCTGTCCCCTGAGAGTACAAGTATCTGAAGTTGGGCCTTCCTTGCACTGAAAGTGGCTTTAGGATTATTTTTAAACAGCTTAGGGAGTTTTTGCAAGGGTTTTTTTGTGTAATTACAGTTAGAAGTGGAGGCATTGGTCAGTCGGCTGGGCTGCCTCCCACTGGGTTACGGTGAACACCCCTCCACACACCTGCTCGAGAGCCTCAGAAAGTTTCTCTGAGCGCAAGGACACCACATCTCTAAGAATGAAAGCCTGACTTCTCTGAAGTCACACATTGAAACCAGTTATCAAAGACAATTTTGTTATCACTTAAGCAGCCAGTCAGAAGTGATGCCCAGAAGCAAACACAGTCTTTGCACCTGCTATTTTCAGAATTACTGTGCCTCTCTCCCGGTTTTATTATTTGTGGCCAGTAACACAAGCCTGTGTAACACCTTTGTATACTGCAGCAGTGCTCAGAACTGAGGGGATTCATTTGCACAGTGATTCTCAGACTCACTTTGAATGATATTCCTGTAAGATAATGTAGCTGGAGACTCCGGTGCTTCAGCCAAGAAAGACTGACCTCTGTCACAACTTTTCCCTTGAAGGACAGAAACAAAGCAACAGGAAAATATGAGCTTTTCTTTTTTTAGCCTTTATCCTGTCCCAGTTACAGCTTTTCAAACAGCCACCTGCATCTATTCCTTTTAGGAAGCCCTGAAGTCAGTAACAGGACTAGAAATACAGTGTACAGTTTGACAGAGGAATAGTACTAGCAGAAACCTTTGGCTGGAGTATTGAGCTATTCCTCAATGTCATTAATTCAGGTGTTAATTGGTAACAGTTAGCAGGCAAAGAGCCACACCTCCTCATGACCCACAAAATAATTTGGGCAGTGCCAGTAACAGTGAGGTTAAAGCACTGGTTTTAATGCTCAACATCTACAAAATACTCTTCTTTGAAGTGGTTATGATTTCATTCAATTTGCATTTCCAGGTGACTACACCAAAGAGAAAGACATGTTCTATTTCAGATATGATTACAGAGCTGAAAAGATGCAGCATGTAATCTTAACTGATTAAGGAAAAGTTAAGGAAATTACCCCAGCACTTCCACATTCCACACCAAGCTAAAGTCATAGTTACAGTGACTTTTGACTCAAAAAAACATTCTATCTAAAAGTGCTAAGAGACATCAGTGCCCCTATCAGGGTTTTCCAGCAGTGACATCAGTATAGGAGGAGCAACTTGCTTTAAATGCAGTGCAATAAGTGAGGTTACCTATCTGTGGATCCAGAGGCACTTTACCCAGGAGAGAAACACTCAAGTTCTGGCACATCTTCTCCGCACCACCAGTAGTTGGGGGAAAGATCTGAGATTCATTCTGGGACAACAAGAAAATCAAAGTTAAAATACAGCAATTCTGAGAAAAAGGCATTTTTTGGAGCAATGTTTGCTATCCAAGCAATGCCAAGGAAAGAACACTGTAATACACAGCCAGCCTTACCTTACACTTGGGACACACAAAGCCACTCATGTTCTCCACAACACCAATGATGGGCAGCTTCACTTTGCGGCAGAAGTTGATCTCCTTCCGAACATCCTGAAGTGACACCTCCTACAAATATTAGCAAACACTTGTATTTCAACTGTTTCATGCTGAATCCTTAGAGCTACTTTACAATGAATTATTACTGCTGTCTTAGTATTTTTAGGAACACAAACCTGTAATATGAGCTCTATCAACAGAGCAGGTACAACACTTCAAGCCTACTGGATGTGGTTCTGTTTTGAAATCTGACTCTAGTCAAGATTCACCCATATTTATGTTTTTTATCTCCTATGTTCATCTCATATCTTTTTTAAATGCAACTTTTTCACATTTTCATCTTACAGAAGGATCCTTGGTGTTCTCCACAGAGGAAGGACAAGAACTACTAGGCTTACACTAGTTACTTTTTTTTCTCCAATTAAATTTAAAATATCTTATCCTCTCCTCAGAGTTTTCACATATATGACTCACCTCATTCATTCTCCTGTTCCCTTCCACCTTCACCACCTCTCTGGTACTGTCCTCAACACTTTGCTTCCTTTATGTGTTATCCTTTCTGCTGATGTAGAAATACTTCATATCACATGCTAGTTTGAGCTCCTGTTCTTTCTGTTCCAAACCAGATATGAAAACCTTTGCTTGAACTGAGTGTGTTTTTAGTTTCAGATTTCCAGGGGCTGATTTCTCTTTTAAAAATCCACATTACAAAGCTGCCTACTATGGTGGGTCACCTGGAGGTGACAGGCTATTTCACAGACCTCAAAGAGTGCATAGCTTATCATTTAAAAATGAAGTGTCTTACAAACATTCTTCTGAACATTAAGCTATTGGTGAGTAAATTACAGATCCACAATGATGTAAGGAGGATTCTGATTCTGAAGGAGGAAGTTAAACACTGCATTTCCTTTCACCACACCGGTCTCAACAGCTTTAGATTGTGAACTGCTGTGGTTTAGTGACCCATGTGGATCCCATCCAGCTCCACTGAGACACCCACCTAACCCAGAGACCAGCCACCTGCAGGGGGAACACAACAGTGTCATTTCCCAGAGGTTCTGTACCCTTGGATTTCTGTGAAATCAACAGCCTGGAACCCAAGGACTGCCTTTAACTGCCATGATGCTTCCCTGGTGGAATTTTGGCTCATACCTGGGGAGTGGTGATGATGACGGCACCATCAATGTGGGCGGCACTGAGGTACTGCACGATGGACAGGTGCTCATCTGATGTTCCTGGGGGCGTGTCCACGATCAGGTAATCCACTTCACCCCAGTCCACATCACGCAGAAACTGCTTGATCAGCCCTAGAGAAAAGGATAAGAATGTGGAAGAGAAAAAGGTATCTTCCTGTATTTCAAATGTCTGGGTCTTGGCTAACTACCCTATCTACATTACTAAACAAGTTCATGATATTTCCACACTTGAAACCTTTCAAGTATGTGAATTACTGTTGGAAACAGTCAATACATACCATTCTTTTTTGGTCCTCGCCAGATGACAGCATCATCAGGACTACTAAGCAAGAACCCCGCTGACATGACACCTAAGTTTTCTTCAACATACTGAAAGAGAAGTAAAGAAACATTAACAGTGAAGCAAGAGTAGAGAAACCAACTCTGAAGCCCTATTTTACAGAAAAAGCAAATGAGGGGGAATATATTAATGAAATAAAGGCAGAGAACTTTATTTTTTATCACAGGACATTAAAAACTGCATCTTGTGCAACACTCACCAACTACACTAAGGCTGAAAAAATTAAATTGTTACAGCAGTTTATGGAATCACTGGAGACAATGGAAGGATAAAAGCAGCTTTCCCTCTCAGCACTAGCTGCCTGTCTAACATCATGCACACTACAGGGGATCTGTACACAACCAACACTGCTGCAAAATCTTCTCTGCATATTCTAAAGATTAATAACGTTTGTCTTGGGTGCAAGATATTTCTTGGCTGTCACAGAAAAGATGACACACTACAGCTGCATGATACCCCGGAACAACAAACCTGAGTAACTTATATTTATTGCCCATGTTGCAAAGTCAGTAAACACAAGGTAATACAACAATTCTAGACATACAGTACTACTATTATTAAGAAATGTAACACTCTGATCTACATTGTCTATATCCCAACTCTATATGATATGCATCTCAATTTTATAGATCTAGTCTATATTCTACAAAATCTGGATATACATTAGCGTTCTCTAGATAGTCTCTGGAACATGGATATAAGTTACATAGATCTACAGAATCTGGACATACAGACTCTGTATGTATGCCCTATATATGTAGATTCTATAGAATCTGAGTATTTTAAGTCATTAGAAGAAGAATTAACAAAAGGACCCTCTGCTCCTCCATCACTCATTTTTCACTGTAGAAGATGGTGCCCAACCCAAACACACCCAATGAACTTTCTGAAACAGCTACACCAACTCACCACTGGAGACCATCCAGATCCACTCTGATGAACCTGAAAATTGAGGTGATGCACAAAAGTTGCAATAGCAATAAATACAGATGTTACACAAAACATGAATATAAATCAAACCTGGGCGAAGAGCTCTCCTGTCTGCAGGAACAAGCCTGTGTTAGTGGGGCAGCTGAGGTGAGCATCAGATCTCCATTAACAAGTGAACAACAGTTCAACCCTTATGCAAGTTTACTCATTACTTTTTGCATTTGTAAGAAATACTCCAGGGCTGATAAAGTGCATCACGCTAATACTACTCAAGTTTCAAGTAGTCAGCATTATGTGGCTGCCATGCAATGAAAATTGGTTTGCAGAACTGCTCATCCTAAAAGCAGATGACTCTTTTGCAAAATATGTTATGCTGAACTTCTCCATCTCACCTCACTTCCCTACCACTGCCCCACATTTCCCATTATGCACTCCCTTTAGAAGCTCTCCATCCAAAAATCCTAAATATGTTAATGAAAAACTGAGAAAAAAAATCCCTTGAATAAGATGTTTGAGCATTCACTCACCTGTTCTCCTTCTAGACCCATAATTTTAGGAATCGATGGCCCACAGATATCTATGTCCAGCAGAGCAACCTGGAAAACAAACCAGCCAACCTGCCCCACTGGAAGCAAGGTAGCACAGGGCTGCCTCTAAAGGCGATCTCATGCAATGAAATCACTCCAGCAAGGCTCATCCAGGAAAGTCAAACTTTAACGAGCAGGGGCACACGATCGGTCCCTGCCCGCAGATACTCGGCCGTGCCCCACCGCCGCCCGTCCTGTGCGCGTCCTCTGCCCACCTGCTTGGTCTCGTCCGCCGCCAGCCCGTGCGCCAGGAGGGCGCTGAAGGTGCTCTTGCCCACGCCGCCCTTGCCGGACAGCACCAGCACCGTGTGCCGCACCGCCCGCAGCCGCGCCCGCAGCTCCGCCGCCTCCGCTGCGGAGACACCGCTCCGTCAGCGCGCCGGCACCGCACCCCCGAGCCGGCACCGCACCCCCGAGCCGGCACCGCACCCCCGAGCCGGCACCGCACCCCGAGCCGGCACCGCACCCCCGAGCCGGCACCGCACCCCCGAGCCGGCACCGCACCCCCGAGCCGGCACCGCACCCCCGAGCCGGCACCGCACCCCCGAGCCGGCACCGCACCCCCGAGCCGGCACCGCACCCCCGAGCCGGCACCGCACCCCCGAGCCGCCCCCCCACGGCTGCTGCACTCACCCGGGTCCGGCCCGGCCGCGCCGGCCACGCACAGCCCCTGGTTGGGGCATCCCTGGCAGGCGGCCGCCTTGCCCGCCTGGGCGCTGCCGGTCCCGGGGCATTCTGCAAGGGACAGCGAGAGCTGGGCCGCGAGTACCGCGGGCGGGGGGCGCGTCCCACCCCGTCCGGCCCCACCGCTCACCCTCCGGCGCGCCCGGCGCCTCCGCCATAGCGCTGCGTCACTTCCGCCGCCGCGGGGGCGGGGCCTCGCGCCCGCAGTGCCCAACTCTGCCGCCAGGGGGCGCTGCCGCTGCGGGCTCTGGTGGGGCGGGGCGGAGATCGGGGACCCGGTGAGACAGTGAGGGACCGGTGAGACAGTGAGGGACACTGTGAGACAGTGAGGGACCCGGTGAGACAGGGAGGGAGCGGTGAGACAGTGAGGGAGCGGTGAGACAGTGAGGGACCGGTGAGACAGCGAGGGACCGGTGAGACAGTGAGGGACACTGTGAGACAGTGAGGGACCGGTGAGACAGTGAGGGACCGGTGAGACAGTGAGGGACACTGTGAGACAGTGAGGGACACTGTGAGACAGTGAGGGACCGGTGAGACAGTGAGGGACCCGGTGAGACAGTGAGGGACCCGGTGAGACAGCGAGGGACCCGGTGAGACAGTGAGGGACCCGGTGAGACAGTGAGGGACCCGGTGAGACAGCGAGGGACCCGGTGAGACAGTGAGGGACACTGTGAGACAGTGAGGGACACTGTGAGACAGTGAGGGACCCGGTGAGACAGTGAGGGACCGGTGAGACAGTGAGGGACCCGGTGAGACAGTGAGGGACACTGTGAGACAGTGAGGGACACTGTGAGACAGTGAGGGACCGGTGAGACAGTGAGGGACCCGGTGAGACAGCGAGGGACCGGTGAGACAGTGAGAGCCCCGGTGAGACAGTGAGGGACACTGTGAGACAGTGAGGGACACTGTGAGACAGTGAGGGACCGGTGAGACAGTGAGGGACACGGTGACACCGGTGAGGGCCCCTCACTGGTATAATTGGAGGATTTACTGCCTTAACTTGGCCAATGAACTTCTGAGCAATTAAGATAGTTGCTGTGCTTGGTAGGTAAGAACTAATAAAATAATTTTCAGACCAAGGAAGTGTGCACCAGCTGGTGATGCGGTCTGGACCCTATTCCGGCCACCTTATCCCAGTCACTGCTCCCTCCCTCTTCCTCCCATAGGTGCCTGAGCACAGCCTTGTCCTCTCTTCTGCTCCTAACATCACAGCTTATGATGGGTATTTTCCTGATCCAAGTACAGTTGGAAGTCTCAAATACTCCCATTTCTGACCAATTAGTCCCAAAACTTGCTTGTTTTAACATACAAGTGTGTAAGTTATTATTTGAGATGGTGTCACCTTGGAAATAGAAAAGAGTAGAATACCAAGCATTCCTTGGTAATATTTGGAAAGGTACCATCACAACTTGGTGTTAAATCTGTCTTTTTGAAAGAATTATACTGCAAATTTATCTTTTCTTTTTTGGGACACAGCACTTTAACAACTGCAAGCTTTTTAGAAAGAACACTCTAGGAATTCAAAAACCAAGCCAAACACAAAACCAGTAGCTGTCCACCTACCAAAAACCTAACCAAACCAATCCAAAACAAAATCCCAAAACAAAGAACAATAAACCCCCGCCCTCCCAAACAAACAAAGAAACAAAATCTAGGGAAAAAAAAAATCTGAAAATACATTTAATTAATGTCTTTGAGGAGCTTTCAAGCATATTTATCTCAGGTAAAAGCTCAGACCACTGGATATTTATACAGCCCCTGCACTTACTGCTCTGTAATTACCTTCCATAGGAAACTAATGAACAAAACGTTGTTTGGAAGTGGAGTCAAATGTTTAAACAAATTCAGATGTCTGTGGTAGGAGGAGCTGGCCAGCAAGATATATCTGAGAAGTTTATAGTGTAC